CACACGTAAGCCTGTCTCGAATCTGCCTCTCTCCCTCTTGATTGATTGAGCCGAACTTTCGTGTTGACCCCTCGTGAGACTTGAGCGCGCCATCCTTCAAGGGAGATCCTCGCGCGTTCTCAGAGTGTGACCGCGGGTCCGCTTTTGTGGAGTTCAGCAAACTCAGTTGTTTCGCGATTTCCTCAGAGACATGAAACTTAGAGATATGAACCTCAGTTGGGTGATCTCAGTGTGCTTATGTGGAATTTCACCTTCAAGTTCATCAAGGCGGGTGGGAATCTCCTTCCTTCCCTCACACGTCTCACACTTTCGTTTCTCGTCTCCGTCGCCCGCGTGTCCGACTTCTGGTTCTTCGCCCGTTTAGGGGTGGCTTCCCCCTCCTCCCGCTCTCTTCTTCCTCGCGTTCCTGACCCGCACATTCGTCCTCCTTCTCTTGGCCCGCTTAGGGATGGCCTACCTTTCTCCTCGTCGTCTTCTTCCCGCCTGTCTACCTGTTCCTGTTCCTCGCTCTCCTCACGCTGTTTGGCTTGACGTCTTCCTCCCCTTCCGTTGCTATTTCGTGTTCGTCCTCTTGGCCCCTTGCGGGACCTCCTCGAGCTCTGGTCTTCATCCTCTGTCTCTGTCCGCGCGGGACGCGTCGCCCTAAAAACGCATACTAAGCCCCCTAACCCTCTTTTCCCTGTTGTTCCCTTGTCTTCTACTTTTCTGTCTCTTTTCCCCGGGCGGGCTGCGACGCCCTGAATACGCATCTCGCCCTTTGTCTTCCTTTCTTTCTTTCTTTCTTTCTCTCTTTCTTTCGTTCTTCCCCCCCCCCCCCTTTTTGCAGCGTTTCTTCTTTTTCTCTTTTTCCCCTTCCCAGCGTCATCCTGTTCTTCCTCTTCGCCCGTTAAGGGATGGCCTGATCTTCCTCTCACTCTTCACCTTCGCGGCGCTCCCCGTCTTCGAGGTTTAGGAGGGTTTTCTGGACTGTTGGGGGGTTTTGCCCTTGTCGGAGACCTTAAACTTGGTTTCTCCTGGCTTTCGTGTTCTTGGTTGGGGTTTTGCCCACGGAGACCCAACGTGGGGCTTTCTGCTTTTTTTCGCGCTCCGTTTGTTTTCCGTTGGGGTCTTCGTCTGTCTTACGGGCGCGTGCTTTTAGGGTTGCACCGTCCGTGAAAACTGAGCTACTCGCCCCTCTTTGAGGGGCGTGTGTGTGTGCGGAGCGACAGATTCACCCTGTCGCCATGTGTAATTTAAATCTGCAGGGGGACCTTCCATTTGCTGTGCGCGATGGTCCAACGAAGCGGCCACAGCAAATGCGGATATCGAGGCTGATCACCTCGACGTACCTGCTTGCAATTTGAGCCACAACTTCTCGTGATGTTGGACTTTGTGCTTTTGCAAGACCATTGGCTCTGGTTGTGTAGTGTTTCCGCTTTTGCTTCAGAACACACGTAAGCCTGTCTCGAATCTGCCTTTCTCCCTCTTGATTGATTGAGCCGAACTTTCGTGTTGACCCCTCGTGGGTTTTGAGTGTATGTATGTGTGTGTGTGGTTGCTTCCTTCATTTCAGGGGCACTTCCTAGGGTGAACCTGCTTTGATCAGCACTCTAAGAACTGCGGCGCAACTTCGACCTTCCCGGCATGCAAACAAGAAGATGCAGATCTTGAATGTAGCTTGCACACAAATCGGAGATAAGCTGGTGCTTGACAAGTTGCGTATCATATCTCATCTCCAATAATTTGGTGGTGCAAGGCTCCTCAAGAGATTGAACACTCCCTAAAAAAGAAGCAAGAGACTCACCGACATCAACAGACCCTCTCTGCAAAACAGGATTTGGCCGGCAGGAAAGCGGGACGCGCATCATCGAATCGTCATGCATTCAGCCGTTAGGTCGATCGATTCACGATGCTCTCTGTCGCACAAACTTCTCTGGGCCCACCTTGTCGCTCCTCCAGGGGCAAGTGCAACTGAACTGCATAGCTGATCGAACATTTGATGAACATGATGACCATAATACAAAGTCATACCCAAATTGCTTGCATAAAGTCCGGTATCTTTGGCAACTTCTCCAGGCTGTTCCTTTCGGCATGCGCTGTGCAAAGTGGATATGTCTTCGCTCCGGTCCTCGAATAAGATGATGCCTGCACTGGCGTCATTGGAAGGTACCTCGGGGATGAAGACTGCCAAAGACTGAGAGAGGGGTTCTCACCGGAAATCCGCCAGCTGTCAACTGCAAAGAACGATATTCGTCATGTACGTCTATATAGATAATATTTGTAAACATATATATATATATACACATACATGGGTGTATATATATATATATGCGCATAGATATGGAGTTGTGTTTCTTTGAGCGGCTCTGCCTTTCAAATGGATGCTGAGATCTGTCCTTCAGCCAAAGCCATCAGCCCAACCCGTGATTATTCGTTGAAGCTCCGGACCTCAAATCTTTGAACAAAACCTGCAACAAGAGTTGCGCAGGAACCACCAGAAACGAAGACTCAGAACCTTCTGACTTCTGCAGCCTGTTTGCTTCGGCCCTTGGGAAGGTGCTCCAAAGCTCAGCCCTCCAGCTCAAACATCAAGACAAGGACCCCTGCGCCCAACCCTCAGAGCCAATCCTTTTCCCGAAGGTACGGATCTGTTTATGTTTGATTTTGTGATTTTGTGCGGGTTTTGGCGCGCTTGAGCTCTCAAACATGCACAAACACGACAAACGCACATGGTGGAAGCTCGGGGCTGATGGTAGGCAACCGCAGGAGACACTACTAGGTGACGGGAGATCCAGAGAGTGATGAGTGAGGAAGAGACACCATTCTCCTGTCCCTTTATCTCTGCATGTTTGGACGGTGAATGGTCACCCCTCTTTCCTGCTCCGGATTTCACCGCCAGGCGAAGATACCAAAAGACGGGGAGAGGTCCGAACGGAGCGGGAACGACCTTCTCGAACTCGGAACAAGCTAGCGGAAAAATCTGCACAGGGACTAAAACCGATTGGAAAAACATACACTCTGGAACAGAAGCCTTTTGACTCCTCCCAGCCTTTCCCGAAAGCATGTCATGCGTGTTTGCATTAATTTGTATAATGCATGAATTTGACTAGATGTGTATCATGAATGCATGCATGCTGAGTACATGTCTGTGTGTATCTGTCTCTCTCTGTCTGTCTCTGTCTCTGTCTCTGTCTCTGTCTCTGCCTCTGCCTCTGCCTCTGCCTCTGCCTCTGCCTCTGCCTCTGTCTCTGTCAGTCTGTCTCTGTCTGTCTGTCTCTGTCTGTCTCTGTCTGTCTCTGTCTGTCTCTGTCTGTCCGCCTGCCTGCCTGTCTGTATGCTGTATGTCTGATTGAATGTATGCATGCCTGTATGTCCGTATGTATATCTGCACGGATCCATTGATTCATGCGTGCGTGCATTGCATGTATGTACAGTATAGCTATCCATAACTACATGCCTCTGTACAATGTATACATACATGTGTTAACACTTGACATATTGGTATGTGCACGGGTATGTGTATCTGCAAACGCAAATGTATATGTATCGTGCATATGTATTATGTGTTTGTGTGTGTGTATGTGCTAGTGAATATGTATGTGTATGTGGATATGGCCTTCTATTATTCAGTGGTGTTTGCCAAGATGCCCAGGAGGGTGTGAGCCTCCGATGCGATGTGACGTCGTCTTCGGGAAGTATTTGTTGAATTCCTCGGTCAAATCACGGGTTGACGGGTCTCAAAATATGATAAAGAAAACAAAAACAAGGGAAACATAGGCGCATCAAAAATACTGTATTCAAGGTGGCCAGAAAACTATGTAAGAATCAAAAGGGGACCACAACTATTTTCTGGCTGGGGATCCTTTGTCTACCGGTTCGGTTCTGATAGTGGCTCTTCTATTCGGCCATCTAGTTCTCTAAGTACGGAACCCCTTCAACAAGTGTTTGTGCCTTCGGTTTTCCTTCGGTTTCCATCTATACTCCCCAACAAGGTTACACAAGAAAAGGCCACTCGCAGTTTCACCTGCGGAGCGGCGCTCGCAGCCATCGCAGCTCGCATGAAACCTTCATCCGGACGATTCTTGTGAAGGCCCATGACGCCTCCCATGGCAGTGTTCTTTAGGTCCTGCCAGCTGTGCTAAGCCATATGTGACAGCCATCATAGCTCAACACTCGTTTTGGTTCTGTTTTTTCTCTGCAAAACAAAACCGAACTCTGCAGTCTGCAGCGTCCTTAATTTTCAGCCACGCCAAGATCCGTGTTGCGTAAGTTCGCTCTCCTCCTGCTGTCGGAAAAATCGGAGTCCTTCACATTGCTCATCTTCCCAAAGGATTCCTTCGCTTCTGGAGTGACAGGATCCTTCATCTGCTCCGGCTGCTTCCTTAGAAGCTAATGCTCACTTAGCTGGTCAAAACTATGTTTCGCCCCCTCAAAAAGCGAAGATCATCTGTTGCCCTCCCACCCACTTCAAAGTTCATCTCAGCATCCATCCGCCTTCCCAAGAGCCGGCCTGGTCAATCACAGAGCTGCATGGATGCGCACGTTCTTGTCGTTCCCCAAGCCAACATCGTTTCACAGCTCCACCATAACCAGATGACGAAAAGGTGGCCCGACCCGCAAATTGGATGCCCCGCCTGGCTCATGGCATCAGACATCTTCGGCATGGCGTAACACGGATGCGTGCTCCAGAAAATGTGGGCGGGGCTAAGCTTCTCTGCGGTGTTGAACAAAACTTCCGAAGCCGCTCATGCTCAGTGTACTGTAAGCCTGAACATGCTGATGCTCTTTGATTCGGATTTTCCGCAGAGTGCCCAAGCGGATGCATTTCTTCTCTGGTGGCCGAAGGCCAGTCGGCTCGGTATGAAACACTGCAACTTTCTCCTCATCTCTTGCTGAGGTTTCCCTTTCTGGTTCGTGTTCAAGGAAAAACCAAGAGACAGTCAGCGAATTTGGGGTTCTCACCCGAAAGTCTCTGACCTCAATCACAGGCTCAGCCATGAGACCTGACCTCAGGCCGTGGCTTCCCGTACCACTTTGACGTCGTGCCGGTTCTCGGATTTGAGGCTTGGCTTCGAAACCCGGAGCGTCCCTGGTGTTTTGGGTGGAAAGTATCTTCCAAGCTGACCTGCTGGCATCAATCGGCCTGTTGGCCTAGTTTCGCTCTGCACAACAAGAAAAAGCTAGCGCGGAACATAAAGAAGTAAAGGCCTGAAAGCCTTTGGACTTCAGCTTTTGGTGCTTGATGTTTGCAAAAGTTCCTTGCCGCTCCTGGCACTCTTCATCTGCGGCGACATAGTCATCTAGCCTGAGAGGTACCCAAGGATCAGGGCTTGCTGCAAGATCCTTTACCCTCCCCAAGCCAACCAAAAACAAAGACGCATGAAATCTCAATAGGCGACCCTGTCAACATCATTTAAATACTTGGAATTCAAATCGCCCAAAATCGGTGTATCAAATTGCAGTTGTCTTTCCGGTGTCCATTTCCAATCGACCAGCAAAGGGTCTTCGGGAAAAGGCACACCATGTGAGGACATTCACTCTAAGCTTTGGACATATACATGTGGCTGTGGCCACCGATATAGTGTTGCCGCTCCTGGCGCGGCAATTTACGGACATGAAAACCTGCTAGTTCGACCTCCCGACCGCAAGAGGTACGTGAAGCCGTGAAGCGCCAGAAAGCACCTTTGGCAAAACAGGGGCCCTGTACAGAAATCCTGGCTCCACCCCCTTTGTGGTGGAAACTTGGGGGAAGACCTGCAGAAAGAAAGGTGTACTCGAAATTGCAGCGTCGCGGGGAAAATAAAACTACAGACTGGTTTCCTTCGGGCTTCCCTGTGCAGCCAGCCAAACAAGGGGTCCCAACAAAAGACGCACCGGGACATTCGAACCACAAACCTCGCAGCATGGCCGCACGCGCACTTGCGCGTCCTGCAAGTGCTCCCTGTCGGCTTGATGCCGTTCGGCCGGACGCCTGTCTCCAATCTATCTGACTCGCTGAGTTTAAGGTCAATTTGGGGGAACCTTGACAAAGGGGGCGTTTCTTCCAGCATGGCGAAGGCGTTGGTGAAAGCAGATGGCACAATTCCGGATAGATGTGGGAAAGTGCAAGGGATGCTAAACCCAAAATGGGCCTACGAACAAAAAGTTCGAGGTTTGCCAACACACCTGGTAAACATCAAACAAAAGTCTTATCCCTTCAAACCAGTAGCCTCGAAATGGGGGCAAACAAAACTTGTTTGCGGTTTGAGAAGTGAACTAAAGCAAACCCCACCTGAGAGTAAGCTATGGATTGCTACTTTCAAAAACAGACTTAGCTGCAGACACCTTCTCCCTTTTGGATGGCGTTTCTGGAGAATGCGAAATCGTGGCAACATGAGGTACGGTCAAAATTAGCTTGCTTGCACAAAATGGGAAAATCGACTACGAGGGCTCGTCCGGACAATCCGACCAACCCGAATCAAGATATGGGTGTGTCTTCTTTTTGAGGCTACCCCTCTTTCTCGGAGTGAAAGCCAAACGGAAAACCAAATGGAAAACCAAATGGAAACCCAAATGAAAAACCAAATGGACAAGTAAATGGAAACCGAATGGAAAACCGTATGGAAAACCGAATGGAAAATCGAATGGAAAACCGAATGGAAAACCAAATGGAAAATCAAATGAAAAACCGAATGGAAAACCGAATGGAAAACCGAATGGAAAACCGAATGGAAAACCGAACGGAAAACCAAATGGAGAACCAAATGGAAAACCAAATGGAAAACCAAATGGAAAACCAAATGGAAAACCAAATGGAAAATCAAATGGAAAACCAAATGGACAAGGGAAACCAAATGAAAAACCACCATCTTGGCGGTCCACCCGGCCTGCGGAGCTCCTTCCGCGGCGAGGGCGCGCCAAAGTCCATGCGCCAGGCGCGGGTCAGCACCGCCAGCTGCGGATCGAGATTCGGAAGTCCCGGATGGAATTTTCGTGGGAAGTCCCGTATTCTATTGGCGGCTCAAAAAGCCAGGGGCAAACCGCAGGCTTTGGTTTCCATGTTTCCACCCAGGGCAAGCCATTTTGGAATTCCGGTGTTTTGAGCCACGGCCTATTCAAAGAAAGCCCTTGGTCCAACCGGAAACGGCAATGGACCACTGTGGGGTGCTGGTCCTGGAAACGTTGGTGGGCATGCCTTTCGGAAACCAGCGAAGAGGGAAACTTGAAACCACCCGAATTCTCTAGCTGTGCTGAGGAGGACGCGAACGTCTACGATGCCCTGGCTTCCATTTCAGGAGGTCAACAAAAGGACAATGGCAAAAGAAACCCGCCACATGCGCAAAGCCAGCCCAAAGGCACGCAAACACATCACCACGTGATGCGTACACAAGAAACCATGCTTGATGGGGTAGGGAGTCCCATTTTGCCTGTCTTCAGTGGTTGGCCTATACTTGTCCCGCTGAGCATGCTTTCAATTCAGAGACCCCACGCCGTCGCAAAAAACAAACAAAAAAGAACTAATCCTACGGGCAAAGGGCAAAAGATATTGTGAACGGGAAAGATCTATTGAGGTTTTACAGTAACGGTTTGGGGCAGTCGTTCCAACGGGGGTTGCCGGACGCGTGTTCAAAGTCTAAAGCATTTAGCTGGATTGTGAAAGAGCCATAGATGCTAAATCAGCCTCCAAACTCCCTTGCCAAAATACACAAGAGCAGTCGAACGATCTTGTGAAAGGACATGCACCTCTTGAACCGTTTCACTTGAGCTTCGCAAGTTCAGTCTGCCTCGAAAGGGCTGCAAACGTCAACCAGGTCTCGATGCAGTGGCGGCTCCCCGCAAACGATCTCCTCGGTCTTTACAAAATCCGCCGAGCGCGGATTTCATATGCAAACATATAAATACGTGCTACATGTGTATGTTTGCATCCATTAATATATTCACGTAGAAGTCCGGTGGCCTATTGTCCCATGATCATTTGTGAGCCTTACGCTTTTCGCGTGTGCTTCGGCGCTGGGACCATGCTTCAATCAAGTAGCTCAGAAGGCAACACACTGAGGCAGGGGCTGCAAAGCTTTGCATCTCCCAGCCATTCCTGCCACATGTGTCTCGCTTCCATTCTGGGTGGGTATCAGCCGAATCCGAGCTCCTCCGAGCTGCACGGACCAGATCCTGCCGAGCATCGCCAGTGATCTGGGCTTGCCGACCTGAGTCCGGATTTTGCCACGTGGTGGCGTCCCCAAAAAGCGGGGAAGTGAGGCACCCCCGCGCACTCACATCGCTGCCAGGAAGCTGATCCAATCCACCAAGTCTTTGGCCATGGCGCTCCAAAACGATATCGGACACTGAACATCGTCTACTCCTCCCATCAAATATGCTGTCAAAGGGGTTTCACAATAGGTTCACAAGCCGGTTGTCCTCCCCACTGCTGGTCTTTCCTAAGTTGATGCATGCACGTTTATACTACCTGTGCACTTAAACTGGGGAGATAATATGTGCATACCTGTGCGTATCTGCAACCATGCATCTGCCCTGTTCAAGAACCGCTTCAAACGGGCGCCATGTTCCACAGTCATTGCTCTCACGATTTCCACCCAACAAACATGAGTCACTGCTCATCACTCAAGGCTGCTGAGAAGCAACAACTAAAAGTTTTGAAACGCATAGATCAGAACATGAGATGCGCGAGAAAGAAGAAAACACGAAACAACTTAGGAGCTGGTGATGGTGCTGCGTTTGTTTAAAGTGATTGAAGTGCTCCACTTTCGCAAAGGATTGATAACCAGAGTGTCTGATCTGGCGACGCCTGCTCAAACGTGACCCATCATATTAAAATTGCCAAAAGGAAGCAAACAGGTATGGTGCTCTAACGGCGTATTGCTCCATGTACTCAGGGTGATGAGCAATCATGAACGGCACCATCAATGTGCACCGGAGCCGTTTCATAGTGCCCCCATCATGTGCCAACAAAAGGTTTTCCGTTGTAGCCTTCGGTATGCATTCGATGTGCTGGGCAGCACCTGAAGCTTCCAGTTTCCGAAGGTTGCACTTGCTCAAAGATCAGGTCGCGAAGCTACCAACCAAAAAGCAAATCGAAGTCGATTCACGCTATCTGGCATCCAAATGCAATTCGGTTCTTGCACGTCCTTTACATCATTAAGACTTGTGGACTGATTGCGAACGCACTGTTGTGGATGCGTTTGCTTGCAGGTGCGCATCAAGCACCGAGTTGACACTTCTGCACAGACCATTCTATAAGCATCCAGTTAGATGCTATCGGCGCTACTCCTAAAATAAACAAAATAGAAAGAACTCTTGCCAAAGAAAACGCGTGCAGTCCTCACTCGCTCCTTTTTCCTTGAGTTTCGCAGGTGCTCAGGCTGAGAGGCAGTGCACAGCGGTGCACAGGCCTTCAACTCTGAGGGGGCGAATCTCTCCCGGCCGGGAGAATTTCAACCTCTGTTGCGCAACTGCTGATCTTTCAGGAGCATGAGTAGTAGCATCCCAAGGGTCTTGATGGGGACAAGCATGGCTCGCCATTGGCATGAGGCCAAAGGAGTGCACAAAGCGCAGGAAAACCCGTATGTATTGAAAATACTGCGCCAGTGTCGAAGATGTGAACGCGCGCAGAGATGCTTCATACGCGGCCTGCGGTGCCTGAGGGACGCATGAAATCACGTGTTTGACAGTGTGAAATTGATGCGTGAGCTCCGGTCATCTTCGGCCTGTCTTTCCGATAACCACGAAGGAAAGAAGCCCCAGTGTTCCCTATCTCGCCAGGGCATAAGTGAGAGGTCGGGGGCTGTCAACATGTATTGTGCTACGCCGTCCACATTAAGGCTGACTTACTCTGAGTAAGCGCGGCGGGCAAGATGCCGGAAGAAAATCAGCTGGGTTAAGGCATGTCGCACTGCTCCTAGCTTGAACCCAAACATGAAACCTCAAAAGAACAAAGTTCGTCCGAAGCGGCCGCAGTTCTTTTCACCGGGATTGCTGAAAGTTGCACTGCTTCCAGGGCACTAGTGCGCCTGGAGCAGGAGGCACATTGACCCCCCGAAATGTGAAAAGGCAAGACAATGCGTGTCCTTGCGGGTAAATGCAGTGCTTGGGGGGGGCGCGGCACGCGTGCCCACGCCCCAAGGTCCGGAGACCGACAGTCCGGAGACTTGAGGTCCGGAGACCGATTGTGGTCCGGAGACCTAGTCCGGAGACTACGGTGCCCGGAGGCGACCCACGATAATGCAGAGAAACTGCCGTCTATCCTGGCAAAGCCTGGCATAGGGCAATGCAGGGTGGGTGGGTGGGTTTCGAAATGAAACCGCAGGTTTGGGTCAAGGCTAGGAGCAAAACGGCCAACGCATAGTTCGATTCACCACATGCCCTAAACACAAGGGAAAAGAAACCCTAAGCGTTAAGGCATGTCGCACTGCTCCTAGCTTGAACCCAAACATGAAACCTCAAAAGAACAAAGTTCGTCCGAAGCGGCCGCAGTTCTTTTCACCGGGATTGCTGAAAGTTGCACTGCTTCCAGGGCACTAGTGCGCCTGGAGCAGGAGGCACATTGACCCCCCCTTCAGTGTTTCAGGCAACCCCGGTAAAAGCGAACCAGCTGGGCCGAAGGCCTCATCACCCGCCCTTCAGAGTGGGGTTGTACCTGGCAGGGCAGATGCTAGGGTCACCATGCACGCTGTGTTGTGAACAGCTCGGCATGCGGTGACTGCACTTTTTTCTGGTCAGAGCGGCTTGTGTAAGCGGCTGGCTGACATTGCCAGTTGTTCTGCCTGGCAAGGCAACGGCAGAAAAGGGGTTCGGAAGGCCAAGTCGGATGCAGGCTAGGCTGGCTCAGCGACGATGGAAGCTGCTGCCAAATGTTCCGGACGCCAGGGCGCATGCATCGGACACAGTTGAATGCCTCGGCCCGACATCGCCAGGCTTGCAGGGCTGAAGCGCATGCGAAGTTCAGGGCGATGGCTGAATCGGGTCAACCGACCTCTGCTGAGATCGTCTGCCCAATCATTGCACCTTCCTGGAACGTGCGTTGGCTGCAGCAGCACGTTGTGAGCGTGAGCCCAGAAGGCTGTTAACTGCACAAAAAGTTGCAGCGGCCATGAGGTCGTGAACAATTTGTTAAGGCTTGCTTCCGTGGCGGAATTGTCCGTGCCGGACGGCATGCTAAACGAGTAGTGCCCACCACCAACGTGGCTGTGGGTTGCTTGCAGCAGTGCTAACTGTGCAAGTGTTTCAAAGCATGCGATATACCGCTGTGCTGGCTTGACAAGGCAAGGCCACACGGCTCTTATGTCTTGCATGTTCCAGGTCTCGGCGAACCACACCACTTGGGAGGATGTGATTGCCCAGCCCCCAATCCCCACCATTTCATCTTCAGCACACGCGTCGGCGGCAGCCAGAGCTTGCAGCTGGTGTGGCCGCGCCAACGGCTGAATAGGCGAGTGTCGAAAGCACGACGCCAGCCAAGTAAGGCAATGTTGACTTGACTTGGAAAGGCTGGTGTAAGGGTTATTGGGGTCCGCGATACGCACCCATGTGGGCTTGCTAGTGCCAGGCACTCGCGGAATGTCTTCAAGGCAATGCAAGGTGCGGCCTGAAATTTCCAAGATTTTGGAACCCGCTGTGATCCACAATCCCGGCAGGCTGTGACTAGTTTTGAGGTCCCTGGACAAGGACGCTCGAAAGGCCGACCACATTTGCGGTGTGAGTGCATGGAGCCTGGTGGGCTGTTGAGGTCCGCGTAAAGCGGTGCCAGCCAGGACCTAAGGTGCAGGGCAATGCTGGTGGCCCAAATCAACAGGCCTATGCACTGCTCGAGTGTTAAGGCGTCCAGCTTGGCCAGTTTTGAGGACATGAGCTGAATGGTGTCGTGAGAGAAGTTGATCTCCCAACCGCACCAAACCAGGCTATCCTGGAATTGCACCTTTTTCCATGAAATGGGTGCTGCAATGGCACAAAAGAAGAGCACCACCAAGGCAAACATGTCTGGCGCGCTATCCCGGACGAGTGCACAGAGTAGGTCGTCCACAAAGAGAAAGGCTTTGTGCGGCTTCCAGGCTAGCAACCCATGCACTTGACGAAGCAAGAAAGCGCCGGTGCGCTGCCACCAGAAGGCCGAGAAACGGCCCCCAAAATGGCACACCCTGTAGTGATAGAGCTTCCCTTGAAAGGCGAAGAGAAGAAGGCCGTGTTCCTCCGGGCGAACCTGCACTTGTTTGTGTGCGGCTTTAAAGTCAATGCTGGCGCCGATGAAGGCACCTGGAGTGTCCTCTGGCTGCGTGGACAGCGCCAAATCAGAGGCCATGGGCAAGCTAAGGCGCTCTGGCAAATGGCATCTGGTGTTGACCTGGCACACGGTGCTATCCAAGACAAGGCGAGGTTCTTTGCCTTCGGCGAAAACGACGTTAAGCTTTCCCACGGCAATGCCTAAGGGCCATTTTTTCCGAGCGTCAGCTATGCTAAGGCTGGTTTCCACAATCCAGTCGTTAGCAATTTCCTTGAGCAGCAAACCTTGCACGGTTTCTGGCTCGTCTTCGGCCATCTTCCAGTTGCCTTCACAAATTTCCAGATCCGGCTGCGGCATGGAGTCTGGCTTCTTTGCTGGCCATTGAAGGCTTGGAGGCAAGGCTGATACGGCTCCTGTCGGTCCGTGCTGAAAATGGAAGGAGGGCCATGTCCGGGTCACCCCAAGATTTGGCCAGGGCATGCAGCAGGTGGAGTCGGTATGGCTGTCCTGCTTCGGGGCTCATATCTGAAGGGCAGGGCAGTTGTAACGCGCCATAGGCCAGAGTTGCCGCTTCCAGGCTTTCGGAGGGGAGTGGGCAGTCCGAGGAACCGCTGTTGACGTGTGCCAGGATAGGCACGAGTTTGCGCTCATGCATCCAGTGCAGCCAGGGCCTGGCGACTGCAAAGGGTGCTCGGGTTTGGGGAGACACCAATCCGCTGAGGAGTGCATTCCTGCTCCATCACAGGTGGGGAGCCTGCAAGGCGCCAAGGTGACGGTGCGAGGGCAGTTAGAGTGTAGCGGCAGCGCTAGCCTGTTTTACTTACCCTTCCTATGCCTATTTGGGCCAATTGCAGGGCCAGGGAAGGGGGGTATTCTGCAGTCAGTGTGCTGAGGTATACCCCTTGTTCCTTCACCCCTGCAATACTCTGATGCTTGTGGGGGTGATTGCAGCGGGCCTGCAGGGCCTGTACT